CTTTCAAGCACTTTGTGCCTTAACCTCCTAAGCAAGTTACACTTAAAACTAAACTACAGTATGTTGGTCATAGGACAACAACTCATAATCCTCAACATATTTAGAATGCAAATCTTGACCTATGTATTCCGGCCCACATGAACTACCAAATTCTGCTCGTTACCTATTGCTACATGACAAAACATCCTAAACGTAAAACAACCATTTCTTTTGCCAATGAATCTACAGTTTGGGTCAAACTTAGTAAGGAAGGATCTTCTGCTCCAGTGTTAACTGGGGCACCTCAACTGGGGACAAGAGTATCTGTTCTAATATAGCTCATTCACTTAACCAACAAGTGAGAGCTGGTTTCTAGTCAGGGCACAGGGCAAAAACCTCTTCGTGTGGTACGGAAGTAGCCAAGATAAGATCAAATGTCCGCCACAGCTGACCGCACCCTTTGATAGGGAATTAGTAGTGTTGTGGAAAAGCACATGGAACAGAAAGTATAGCTGCAGTTACAGACATTTTAGCAAACACAATCTGCCCTATCTACCATGTCACAGTTGCCCATCTCAACATTTCTCAGCACCCTTTTCCAACAGAACTCTCTCTGTTAGCAGTTATCAGTTGAAGGTATATTTGCCCCTTGGGGACATTTGATGATGTTTGAAAATATTTTTGAGATCACAACTGAGTGATTAGTATCTAGTAGGTAGAAGAATCCAGGTATATCCTGTGATGTTTATGATGTTTCTAACGGTTCCTCACAACACAGAATTGTCCAGACAAAATGTTAACATTCCCGAGGCTGAGAAACCTCTAATTCAGCCTGATTTAAGTAATTCTACTTCACTCAGTATACACTATATGATCCGTAAATAAAAACTGGTTGAGACGTACACCCTTTATGGCAATGTTTTCAAAAATTGTATTATTCTAAAGATTCTGAAAGGTGTATATTATTTTTTCTATGTCAAATCCATTCCATTGCAAGGTATGTTGAACTAAGTGTATTCAGTGTGAAACAAGGAAAGGTGTGAACCAATGTTCTAGAATCAATGTGGCATAAATGAACACTCAAGTACCAGCTTTTTAACATCTGGAAAAAGTGAATTTAAAGCCAAACTACAGCTTAGTAAGCACTGCATCGTCTTCTTGTGTTCACTTAAGTCTTGCTGGCATACTCATTCCAAAGGGTCTAGGCACCAAAGACTGAGGCACAAAAAACGCCTGGACTCTGTCAGAGAGAATTCCTCTGAGCACTCCTTCTCCCCTTTACAAAGTTCAAACACTGGCATCTCTTCCTGTCTAGCCCCACTGGGATTTGTTTCAGACTCTGCATGTGGAGACTGGTGAGACAAAACCTGGAGATGGTTCCTTGGGCATCTGAGCTTCACACACTATGAACATGTATTTGAGATGCTAATCCCTCAGGTCTCCCTACCCTCACACAAGCACCCACAGTGTTTCTTTTTCTTTTTTTTTTTTATGGTACTGGGGATCGAACTCGGGTCCTTGTGCTTGCAAGGCAGGCGGTGGAACCACTGAGCTAAATCCCAGGCCCTTACAGTGTTTCTTGATATGAAGAAAAACAAGACTGAGCAAAGAGGCAGAAGGCTCCAACATAGGAGGTTGGGCAGTTATTTCACCATCACCTAAATCACTATAGATAATTGTGTTCTGATTCAGATCAGTGGGCAATCTAAGTCATCTGTATTTGATTTGGAATGCATGATGATGGCTTAGGATACTGTAGGTCCTTAATTATGTTTAGCTGAAACTAACCATTAAATTTAATTTCGTGTCCTTGGGCAGACACTATTTTCACAGTGAAGCCCACTAATCTATAGACAGGCAAGTAGAATCAACAAGGTCCTTTTGCTTCTGGGCCACGGTTTTCTGTAATGCTATTTTTTACTATCAAACAACTAGAGTCTCGATAAATTACAGGGAAAAATCTCAAGTTTCTATCCCCAAGTAAAAAAAATCCTCCATCGTCTAACAACAAAAGACACTATTAACAAAAACTGAGTCATGAGCATTCAGGAAACAAGGAGGATGGAGATGACACTTGTGATAAATGTCAAGGCTCCAAGCCAGGAGAATGGGAAGGTATGGCATACACAAGAGTTGGGAGTGGACCAGAGGCTTCTCAAGTAGAACACAAGAGACCATATCCTTACCCAAAGGTCAAGCTCCAAATAAATAGCAGCAAAAGAAGCTTAGCAAAACCCCAGTCTGTCTTCATAAAGGTTGTGGTAAAAAAAATGATTAATAGGGAAAACAACAATAAGAACATCAATCTCAGGCCAGGGATTTAGCTCAGTGGTGCTGCCACCTGCCTCACAAGCACAAAGTCCCAAGTTCTATCCCCAGTAAAAAAAAAAAAAAATGGTCTCTCCCCTGGCCTTTAAAACCATTTTTTTACTTAGGCCTGGAATAAGGCTGAAAGCTAAAGATCTATAAGCCTAGCCTAATGAATTACAAAAATAATAAAATAAATCCAAAGACATGGAAGATATATACTCATACACGTACTATTAGTGATTGGGGGTAGTTAGAAGCAGTACCTTTTTACAGCAAGAATAGTTCAGACTCTGAAAACAAACTGCCAGTATTCAATTTCCAAATCAGCTATTTGCCACCAGTGTGGCTTTAGGCAGGTTAAAAACTTCTGTGTCCTTTAGTTGCAGAATCTATAAAGTAAAGTAATGATAACACCTGCCTCATGTGGTTATCGTGAAGATTAAATAACTTGATTCAGCTAAAACACTTAGGCTATACAGGAAGTACTATATATATTCACCACTGATGTTATCATTACTGCTTCAATTCCATATTATACCAGGGACCTGGGAAGCACTTTAGGACAAGAAAGGATGCTATTTAATATATGATATGGCTGACTTCACTGATCATTCAATAATATCTTGAGAAAACATATCAGAATGAGCATTTAAGTTTACTCTACAATATAAATTTATTAGCATTGATGAGGTTTACTGTAACAGCAAGATGTAAGGGCAAAAGGCACCACTGAAAAGAAATTCCACCTAGTGTTATATATATATATTTATATTTATATATCTATATATATTTATATAAATATAATTCCACAATGATGTTCAGTAATGCAGTAGTTCTACTATGAGTGATTTTTACCTATATGAGTCATAAATATTTAGAATTATAAGGTATCATGATTAGGAACTATGTCTCAGATAATTGTAGGAATTAACTAAACATAGCTAAGAGCAGTGATATATAATTGTATTCAGTATTAATCACATCAATATGAAATTAAAATGAACTCAATTGATTCCTTCTTTTGTCTTTCTTTTCTTAACTAAAATATTATTTTGGTCTACTTTCTCCCCACTGCAATTGCATAGAAAGACATGAAATTCATCAACAAGCTTCATACACATTTGAAATGAGTTGTCATGTTTGCTTTTCAACACTTTTAGCCACAATAGAACCCAACCTCAATGTTACACCACTTAAGCACCCTAGGTTCTTTCCATACCATAAAGTATCTCACTGACATAATTATAACAGTACTAAGGTATTTTCCCAATCATATCCCAACAAAATTAAACATTACATTCTTCAGAATTTAAAAATGATATTTAACAGAGCCATTCACAAATAGTGATAATACTTTATGAATAAGATAATAGGAATAATTAATTATAAGTAAACAAGTAATAATAGATTATTTTATTCAAAATTACACACAATGAAGCATAACAAAGCTGCCTCTATGTAAACAAACCTGTCCTGTATATTTTATTCAAAATTACACACAATGAAGCATAACAAAGCTGCCTCTATGTAAACAAACATCTGTCCTGTAGCCCCTCTATGTAAACAAACATCTGTCCTGTATAAGGCAATTTCACTATGTTCCATATATGGATGTCACTTATGTGACTTTGATTACTGACTAATAACTTTGGACACTTTCAGTCTTAACTATAACTTTACTTTATAACTATCACATATGTTTCATCAAGTTCTGGAAGTAATGGATAATGGTGCTGCTGCCTGCCTCAAAAGCACAAGGTCCTGAGTTCAAGCCCTGATACCAGAAAAAAAAAAGATACTATTTCAAGCCTTATTACTTAAAAGTTTCTTTTAAGACACAGACCATTTGAGGTCTTCTAAAATTACTAAGAGATTATGAAAGATTAGTAAAATTATGCCCATAATAAGAATCACATATATGCACTTTTTCCTGTAAAATAAGTAACAAAAAATAAAATATAAGCAGAAGTACAATTTCAAATGTAAATAAATGCAAGTGAGGGCCAGGGATTTAGCTCAGTGGTACTGTTTCTCCTTGCAGGCTCAAGGTCCCGAGTTCAATCCCCCCAGTACAAAAAAATGCAATCATGACTTCAAGCTAGTTGTCACAGTGGACATAAATTGTTTGTACCTCAATAGCCACTGTAATAAGTGTAAAAATTTAAGATTACAATCATGTTGGCATTAATTCTTGTCTAGTTTCAAATTACTGAACAAAATATATATATTTTTGAAAACACAGAGATTTATTTATCTGACATAAACATACATACATTTATATACATCTGTATTTGTCCATCTCATTCAGATCAACTTTAAAATATACATATTAATAATTCCTGGCTGATTTGAAAAGGATCTAACAGACAAAGCTAATTGGAAAAGTTTATAAAAAAAAACTTAGAAACTAATATGCAAACCAACAAAAAAGTACAATTAATAGAAATTAGTCACTTGGAAAATACTTCCCCTATATATTTAAATTGATTAAGGGAAGCATTAAGAAAAAAAGCATTTGGGGTTCAAGTTGCTTGTTAGTTTTTATAAATCAAACAATATTTTACTGCTTATTCTTATATCCATTTAAAGTTTTTTATCAATAGTTTTAAGTGTAATAAGAATGTACTACAAAAGTATGCAAGACAGGTGATCAGGAAAAAGGAATACATTATTTTAGAATATTAAAAGATGAAAGTAGCAATAACATTTACCATTTGCTTCCTCTTGATGATTTATTTGCATTTCTGCAAAAATAAAAGTGAAGTGCAGTTAATAATAGATCTGTCTGATGACATTGTAAGTGAGGAAAGAGAAGAAGTGTGAGTTTAACTCTTTAACAACGACAAATCTTTAGGCTGATTTTTAACAGAGTAGAGCATAAAACACTGCTATGAAAACTCTTTACATATATCCATATTTTTACTGTGAGGAATAATTATAAATCTGACACAAAAAGGTAAAGTTGCAAAAGTGTTGGTCTGAGGGCAACTGGGGAATCATCTTCCATGATGTCCAGATGTAACAAAATCATCTTGTACTTTCTTCTACTGATGGTTTCATTAATCCTCACCTTGAAGGTAAAGTTCAATTTCTGAATAAATTATTCCTTGAGACATAAAGGGAATCCACCTGAGAAAAGGAAAAAATGTAAAAAAATAATTTTTATTTTAATTTTTCTAATAAGGTTGATTCTGCATTAATTTTGCATATTGCAATGTAACTATAAAAACAGCTTTTGTGCAGCCAAACACAATCTAAACTATTGTATACTCAACATTACGCTAAAAATAACCCCAAAACTGTGGCTGGAATAATAAAATACAATCTGTCTAAGGTTTATCTGTCCTCAATCACTAGCTCTTGTAAATGCCACTGGGGCTTCAGCAGCACATGCAAAGGACCTAGTTTGAACAAAGGCAAGGGCATGTTTAAGATTTTGAGCCACCATAGGGAATATAGCCTGCCCACTGGCTCGTTACAGAAAAATAATTCCACCATTTTAATCTTTCCTCTCTGAAAGTCTCTGTCATGCATTTACATGAATTCCTCTAAAATCTTCCTCAGTGCCTGCAAAAAGAATTGAATTGCCTTAAAGTATGGCAAAAACAATGCTACTACTTTGTCAACTATCCTTCAGGTAATAGCTCACTCTGATACCTTTCCCTAAATCAAACAAATCTCTGTTAGAAGCTCCCTGTTGCAGGAAAGTCAAGACTGGATTCAGTAAACCATTTCTCCACTGACTGGTTCTGTGATCTGCTTCAACGAATTGTTATGAAGCAGAAATAAAAAGTCATGCAAAAATATTGTACATAAATGTCACTATTTTATCACAAAACCCATAATTATTGCTACCATATATTGAAACATTTATTCCTTCCGTTTACCTGTCATTCTGTCTACTCAGCACTCAGTACCCATGGAGAAATGACCTTCTATGTACCATGTACCCTGCTAAGTGCTAGGGCTATAGAAAAAGAACAGAGGGAGGGAATCTTACTGAAGGTACTTCCAGAGTGAAGGAAAAAAACTGGAGAGTAAAGATATAAATACACCAAAATATTGTGAGTGATGAAAAAATAAAGACAGAATAGGAGCAGAAAAGCAGACACCAATTCTAAGTGGCATAATGAGTTATCCTAGATGAGTTCATCACAGTGCATAGCTATTTTCTTCCATGTATATTTCTACACCAAAATTTCTGCAATAAATCCTAAAAAAAAAATAAAATAAAAAAATCCAAAGAGAACTAGGAGTTAAATATTGTGAATCACATTTTTGCATTAGGACAAGAAGGTTTCCTTCAAACTCCAAACAGATGGAGTATTGGATGGAGCAGTATGACTTGAGAGGAGTAGTACTGACATTAAAGGAGTGGAACTGGGCTGGGGATTTAGTTCAGTGGCTCCACAACCTGCCTTGCAAGAGCAAGGACACTCGGTACCAAAACAAAACAAAACAACAACAACAAAAAACAAAAGAGAGGAACAGAAAGCAGGCCAGAAAGATTTCTGACTCTAAAACACCATACTATTATGCAAGTACCAGCAAAAGAAAGGCCCCCCCCATCATGAAAGGGCTCCCTTTCACTGGTCTAGCTAAGAGAAAAAAGGGGGAAAAATTCTCTAAGTTTGAAAATTAGAGTAGGCACACCAAGGAATGTGTTTGGATGGTCCTCCACTTAAACATGCTGTGGAAGAAGCATAAAAAGGTAAAGAGTGATATCAATTACATTTTGTTTGAGATACATTTTAGACAGGACAACAGCTCGCTCAGATTGAAAATGGCAGAAAGTATACTTGAAGGTTCTGAACTCCACCTCCATTCTAAAAAGAATGAGCAATACTCATCCTTGTGCCTCATTCTGTCAGTTTCTTACCATCACTACTTGTCACTTTTGCACCAAGGAATGGCTCAAACTGACAAAGAAGAGCACAGAAATCTAAAGCAGCACAAATACAAGCTCAGAATAGCAAGAGATGATTAATAGTGGCCTCTTTGGGGGAAATATTAGCAAAGTTAAAGACAGTAATTGCTTCCTGTCTCATGAAAATTTTTATTATTGTATTCTCTCTATAAAATAGTATTTTATAATTCTGTACTTAATAAAAATCTCTATGTCATTTTTTAACCTACATTTCTCATCATTTCTTCCAATTACCCAGATAGGGAAAATACAACCATCTGTACATAGGCTAACCATTTTGAAAATAACAAATTCATAATTTTTTTTAAAGAGACATCTGAGGATGCTATAGAGGGAACTTGAAGATTAGGTGACCTCTAAGGTTTTTTGCCACGTGGAAATCCATTATGTTTTTTATTACTTTCTTCTTTCCTTCCTTTAATTCTTCCCCCACTGTTCTATAAATACCAGCCAAATTCCTGCTTAGAATAAGAAACTATGCCAGACAATAAAAAGATATGTATAAGATTCTCCCCTTAAGAAGCTTATCAACTGGTATGTGAGACATGCACACTCACTATGTCAGTAACTAACATTATGTGATAAGTATCGCACAGAGGTTTAAATGAAACCCTGGAGGATATTTTAAAAGGTAACAATAAGCTCATCCTTGGTTGAGCAAGCAGAGGAGGCTTCACGGAATGGATAGCAGTTTGTCCTGGGCATTCAAAAGTAAAGATTTCAATAAGCGTAGAAAGGATAAGATGAGCTAAAATCTGTGAGGTAAGATTAGCAACGGCCCTGGTGAACATCTAGAGAAGAAAGCAAAATGCACTTTACAAAGGCAAATTGAAAACCAAGACTGGAAAGGACAATGGATAAAAGGCTGGGGGAGTATAATTCATTTTAAACTCATCAACACAAACTAATACCCGCACACGAGGCTGGCACAGGTGTAAAGTTCCAACCATAGTTATGCAAAAGAAGGGTACTATTTCACCAGGTTTCCCAGGTTTTAGTCCCATTCCTCTCCACGGGTGATTTACTCAGCCTTGCTCTGCAATGGACTTAGTTTATAATTTATTCAAAAATTGACTAACTTACTACATACTTCCTGAAACACTAGGTTCTATGTTTGTCTTGTGGACACAGAAGGTCTTTGATTACAATCTCCAAAGGACCTGCAAGTATGATTTTCTTGAAATAGCTGCCAGAGATGACACAAGGCAAATAAGCAAGGAAATGCTTTGTGAATGATAACAATGGAATCATGGAGGGGTGACTATCAACCTTGCCGAAGCTCAAGAATCTCTTACATGAAGATGTGGCCTTGCTGGTAGTTGAGACCTCAATGGAGCAATAGAGAATGTGCCCCTTCCTGCCAAACAGCCAGGGAAAAGACATCATGGTCACTGGAGGTCAACTAGTAACTTTAGTTTTTCAGACTGAGATATATCCTGAGACAAATAAACCACATTTTGCTCAAAAATCCATACCTATGCTAATTCTAAGAGCAACTATTAGACTCTTTGTTATCACTAACAGTTGAAGTCAAAGATACTGCTAAGCCCAACACTGAGGAAACATCTACTGAGAATTAGAAAAGTAGGCTAGATAGATAAACATATACACATCTAACTCAACGTAGCGAGTGTGGAGTTAGCAACATACATCTTGTGAAAGGTATAAAATAAAGTGACATTTATCCAATCAGAGGCTTCAGAAAAGGACTTTCTAGCAATGTCAGTGTGACATATGTCAATTCACTAGTAAAGACAGTAGTTAAAGATTTCAGGACTAAGTGTACCAAAGCAAGGCCAAGAGTTAGGTGAACCAAGGCAGGACAGCATCAGATAAGGACATACTGAGGGCTGAGGAAAGCAGAGAAGAGCTGTGTCTGCACGGTTTGGCGTGGCTGTGGTGCTGCTGTGTAGCTAAGCCTGGTTTCAGCAATGATGGTTCCCACAGAATGCTACCTTAAGTATACAGTAAAGACCTTCTTAGCTTCCCCTGCCCAAAGACCTCCTTGTCTACCCACAGAGACCCATAGTTATTTTAGTGGAATAACAGGTCCTTTTCCTAACAACTCGTAGGAAGACATTGAGGATTGGAAAATAGTGAGTGTGGACTACATGGAGTCAGAATCCCATATTCCAAAAGTACCCAGGATATGCTGATGGCTGACCCTATCATAGTGAAAACTTTTTTTCTTTCACTTTTCCCAAAGGAAATGATCTCAACTGTTTTAAAAAATAGCAACAAATACTAAATAGAAATGAGGCAAGACTACTTTAAAGGTGTTAGTTACAGTATCGACTTTCAGGAACCCATTGCATCTCCTCTTTATTCTTGCTATGCCTCAGACTTACTCCACCTAAATCATGGCTGACCATGACTTAGTATTGAGAAGACAAAGCTGGTCATGCTGCTCTGCCTTGACAAATCAAATTAGGTTTGGATTTTTAAAAATCAGTTACTTGCATTTAACTTTTCAATTTCTGCTTCCTAAATTCTCCTATTTAGCACTGCCTTCATTAGGTAGGGCCTTTATCTCAAAAAAACCTGTTCCAAAAAGCTCAGATCAGTGTCATCCCCCACGCCTGTCAGGAACTGATGAGAGCAACACTGAGGTCCCTGGTGTTCCTTGTGTACAGCAGAAGAGGTTGGCTGTAACTGCCTGTGTATCTAGAACCTCCAAAACCAAGAGGGTTAGCAGATATGTGTTATAAATCACATTGTTTCTAAACACATATACTAATATATACAACACACACGTAATACAAGTTTACATAAGAAAAATTGATCCCTGAGTAAATGTTAACTTACTACATTATGGTATCTACTCAAATAGGGCTTCCCACAAATTCATGTCTGCCTAAAACCTGAGAATGTGACCTTTTTTGGAAGCAGTGATTTTGCACAAATAATTAGGAAAGCTGAGGTCACATTGGAATAAGTGGTCCTAGTCCAATGACTATCATCCCATGAGAAGAGAAACAGACACACAAGGGAAAACAGTCATGTGACAGCACAGGCAGACAAGGACCCCAATGCAGTTACAAGCCATGGAATGCCAAGGATTGTAAGCAACCATCCTGGGAAAGGATGGGAAAGGTCAGGGGGGATTATTTCCCAGGCCCTGGAGAGAAAGAATGGCTTTGCCAATATCTGAATTTCAGACTACTTGCCTCTAGAACTGAAAGGGAATATATTTCTGTTGTTTAAAAACAACACGCTGGGCTGGGGATTTAGCTCAGAGGCACAGTGCCTGCCTGGCAAGCTTTAGGTCCTGAGTTTGATCCCTACTACCCCAAAGGCAAAAAAAAACACCAGCCACAGGAAACTACAATAGTACAATTAATACATAAGAATATTAAAATCAATTTGTAAATTTACTTGAATGTTGACTTTATTCAACTATAAATTTTTATTGCTCCAAACTTCAAATAGCCAAGCCTTCTGTGTAAATGTCAGAACTTCAGTGGTGTATACTCTTATCTATAAAGGCGGAAAAATAGTATTTTTCAGGTATAGAAATAAAATAAAACCATAAGGATGTGGGTGTTCACTGAAAGAGGGGAAAGGAGGAGGATGTGAAAGCTTGCAGGAAGCATCTGTGGTACACAGAAGCACCCTCCTCCAGAGCTCTGCTCTCTTTTTCACCCAGGCATTCCCCCCAGGGCTCATAAAAGGACACATATGTGGTAGTCTCTGCACTCTAACTAAGATGTACTATAAATTCTTGTTCTTAATGAAGGTCTAAGGAGAATGACCAAGATTATCTTTCCTTTTCCTTTCTGGAATATGCACACCTAGGCAATTCTGCCCACTGCATCCCACACAAATTACTCACATCTCTGGCTGCCAAGCCCCCCTGGTCCCCAGACAGCAAGGATATTTCCCAGACAAGCTTCTGCATGCAGCCACAAGGTCTCTTTCCTCCTCCTGGATGCAGCCTTCCAAGACTCCGTCTGCCTCAGAGGATGCTATCATTGACCTTGTGCATGCAGACAGAAGGCTTTGGGCACAAAGAAGGCATCGTAAATAGCTTCAGAGTAGGCGTTTCTGCTATCGAAAGGAAGCTTCTATGCTCCTGTTCCATTCCTGAAGTCACACTCCTTTATTTCTTTGAGAAGTAAGTAGGGTCTGTATATTCTATATCTACAGAATAGGAAAAAAGTGATTTTGTAACTCCTTTCTTCATCAGAATATTACATGAATGAGCGCTGCCACTATTTATTCAGGACCTACCTTGTGCAGGGTATCAAATATTAGCTTTTGAGAGCGAAGATGGTAGGTACATTTTGCTCTATTAGTCTTGGTCATTTAATATTATTTTGTAAAGTTTTTCAGATACAATCCGTTGGCACTAATTATGCTATCACTATGTCTCTTCCTTCCAGGCAGGACCATGTTAGCCTCATAATAAGAAATAAGGTAGCAAAGATAGATGGGTGAAGGCAGTGGGGTAATGATGGTGGAGGCTGTACTGACTGCATGGAATGTATGTGCAGACATTAATGTGACAATGCATAAATCTAAGGAACCCTCCAGTAGATTTCATTTTTAAAAGAAATAAACTAAGTTAATGTGACAAAGCATAGCAGAATTGAGAAGGCCCTGGATGAAGCACTCTTGAGTGATGAACAGATATAGGGAATAATATACAGCTACCCCCTACCTCTTGGGCGGTTTGGAGACTGGAGGTAAGAACAGGCTGGAAAGAGACAACCAAGTCCTCTTTAGTGCTATACCCCTGATCAGATAGGGAAGCTTGTGATATGCAAAGCACTGAGTAACCACTGGGAGAAAAAGAAATTGATTCTGGTTGGATTTCTAAATTCACCCCCTTTCCCAATGCTTCTATTTTGCCTAATTTATTTTTTTCTTCATTTCCTGTTGATAATCCATTTGGACAAAAGGCTGTATTTCATCTCTCAACATTGACAAATAAAGCCCAAGTTTCTCACCCCCATATCTATAATAAATAGGGTTTTAATGAAGAAACTATTCATACTCAGTCCCATTCGTGAGTCCTGGACCTGTCTTTCTCCCAGTAATTGAGAGACTAAGCAAAACTAATAGCAAGTGCCCATGCAGCCAAAGATAGGAGTTTTCTTCACGTGACAGAACTCAGCAAAGAACTGGAGAGCAAATATTTTCTAGGCAAATAAGTTCTACTGATCTAAGCAAGAAAGTGTTCAATATCTAATGATGATATTTCAAGAAGGGAGAACCTGTGAAACCTGGGGCTCACACACAAAAGCAGTGGGGCCAACTCAGGAATGGAAGGAATTTCTTCTGGGACTTACCACATGGGCTCAAAGGAAACCACAACTTGTCTATATTGGAATCTTTGTCATCTACACATTCTATGTTAAAATTCTTCTTTCTAAAATTCTCAGTGATATATGTGCACCTGTTTATAGTGGCACAGTTTTTAATAGCTTAAACTTGGAAACAGCCCAATTTCCCGTCAGTTGGAAACTGAATAAAGAAGATGTGGATTTTCTATAAAACGGAGTACTACTCAGCAATAAAGAATGAGCAACAAGAGTCATTCATAGGAAAATGGGTACATATTGAGGCCATACTCTTAAGTGAAATAAATAAGTCACACATGTGTAAATACCAAATAGTTTCTCTGGTGTGAAAAACTAAAAGTGTATCTAAGATCCAAATGGTGTAATTGACAATTTGAAAGAGGAAAAAAAGGGCTAAAGGTGTAGGGGAAGTAGGAAGGGTAGGGTAAAGAAAGGAAAAAAGGGAAAAGAAAAAATATGAGAAAAGGAAAAAATGGAAACAAAGTCTTTGTAAATAGGGGAGGGGGAAAGAAGTGGAGGGACGGCTATGCTATGGGGAAAAATGAGAACCAAGATTTGTCATGTAAATGTACAAGATCCCAATGATAAATGTAATTGTACTGTATACTTAAAAAGTACCAATAATCTCAATGAAAAAAAATTTTTTTAAATAAAATTCTCCACTCTTGTTTTTATCAGGGGCACCAGGAATCGAACTCAGGACCTTGCACTTGCCAGGCAGGCATGGCACCACTGAGCTAAATCCCTGGCTAAAATTCCCCATTCCTAATCTTCTTATGAAATTGTTGTAACACTACAATTTTAGTAATTTAAAGAAGCCAAAATTTAAACAAATATTCTATGTAATAATTTGCAATATTCAACTTTTGACCATTTTGTGACACACAGGATAGTTTGGCAATAAGGTATTATAAGGTAAGACTCTCTTAAAATGCTTAGTAAATGATTACCTACTTAATAACACAACAATGACACATGATGTTTGTTGTGGGATGTGTAATCCTGAGTAAATGACACAAATCCATAACCTACAACACCACACACACACACACACACACACTCACACAGTGTCATCCACAGTGCAACACACTCCTCCAAAGTACCCCAGAGACCCGCCTTACCTTTCACAGGTGAAGATGGACTCAGATGCTGTACTGGGTTCTCTGACTACAACCTTTTCACAGTACCAGTACTGTGATTCATCATTGGCCTCACAGTGCAACAGCACCTTCTGCAGTTTTCCAAGTGACACTGCTTCTACTTCAAATTTATCAATCTGGTGTAGGAGATAGAAAAACCTCACAGTCATACCTAAAATCCAGCAAATAACAAATGCTGGCAATAGTAATAGCCCAAGGATATATCAAAGAGGGCAATAAAGGAAGAAGAATAAGTAAATTACTTTTTATCTATCAAAGTATGTTTTGGCTGTTTTTTTTTTTTTTTTT